CTCTGAAAAATTGTATCTCTTTAAAAAAAAAAAAAAAAAAAAAGACTGGTTGGAACAAGGAGAAAAAAGAAACTGTGATAGGCAAAGTTGCCACGTTGGTCTTACAGGAAGAGAGGATGTAGCTAACCGGAGGAGGGAAGCCATGGCGTGATTCAGGAAAAGGTGTTTGGTTGTCACATGATTATACCAGTAACCAGTGGCACTGTCCCATAATCCTTCCCTGTCCCTGGGGGTTGGGAGAGCTCACCCAGTGTGTTGGGCTCCTGCCCAAGCTCGCAGTACATGGTGGGGGGCCGGCGGAGGGAACACCATTTTAAAGCAGTGCCACTGTCCTGAGGGCAGGGGCAGGGTCCTCTGCCCTCTGCACATTTCTGGACTCAGTAGGTTTCCTGGGGCTCCTCCGGCCTGGCATCCCGTCCCCATCTATCTCTGCAAACCTCCAGCCCTGCGAGGGGAACACACTTTACTTCAAAAAGCTAAACCCAGCCCTTGTTTCTGTCTCCCCTGGTGTCTCATGATTTGCATCTGTCGCATTGAAACTGGAAAGCAATATATTAATGTCTGTGCCAATTTCCCTTCCCTCCTCCACCTCCTTCCTCTTTTTACATTTTATTTATATAGAATGTGTGCTGTTTAACGATTGAATGACCACTCTTTTCTCCTGTAGCTGTAAAAGCGCTCCTTCGCCAGGCTACAGTCGTGGCGGTCACTTGGGATCCCCAGCCACCTCTGTCATCCCATCTAACATGCAGGCCTGTGGGTTGACCAAGCCAGCTTGGGGCACGGGGAAGGCCTGGAGCCCAGATGAGACCTTCTACGAGGCTTGGCTGCCAGACTCTACACCAAGAAGTGACGCCTCCCTGTCCCGGGCCCTGAGTCTGGAGCCGCCAGCTTGCCTCCCTCACAGGGCAGCCGGCCTGCTGTTGGGTGGCTGGTCTCTCAGCAGCTGTGTTTCTGCTTTCGAGCTCAACCATCTATATAACGCTGTTGGGGAAAGGACTGCTGGCACTTTCATTAAAGTTACCTGAAACTACTTGGTATTGGTGGTGATTGTTGCATGAAAAAGAAAAACTGATCAGCACCTTTGGGATGGGGGTTAGGGGTGGGCAGTGGAGCTGGAAGAAGGAGCAGGTAGAGTGAACAACCCGGGTGCCCAGGAAGCCTCCATGGGGGTAGCGTGCACGCCGCTGTGGAGGAGCCAGGCCCAGTGGCACTGCTGGGCAGCTTTAGGACACATGGGGCAGCAGCTGTCGTTCCGAGAAGCGTGAGCTTCCGGCCATCTGGTTTGGGCCAGAAAGCAAAGGGCACCAGCCGAGCCAAACCCAGGGGCAGGGAAGGCTCCAGCCACACCCAACCTGGCCCTGCAGAGCCCCCAGTCTCCGTGGTTTCTGCTGAGACTAAAGTTTGGTGGTGCTGCCAGGTCTGGCCTTTCTTTTGCCTGTAGGCATGGGTCACTCTTAGCCACCACCGGCCTTGCACTAAGTATTTGGCCCCTAAAAGGCTATAGTTACTCTCTATCCCTACATTCTGGTCCTGTTTGAAGACCTCCAAACCAAAAAAAGTCCCATTGCATCTCTTTTACTAGGAGTTGCTTTTTCAGGCAAGAGCTGACTGCTATGTTCCTGAGACCAGGGGCTCTATCCAGCTTTGCCCAGGCCAGTGGCAGGGCCTAGGGACCAGGACCGTTTACTGCTGCCTGGAATCTGAGATCATTACTCCTCAAAGAGCCCCCGTAGGCCTCTTAGTCCAATCCCTTGATAGATGGGTAAACTGAGGCACACATCCCCACCTGGCATCTCAGAGCTGGTCAGTGAGCTAAAACTGGGATCTTGGTGTCTTGATGGCCCCTCAAGTTCACCCCTTTCTGCTGGACTAGACGCAGCCAGACCACTGATGTGGCTGTGTTCACCCGAACCCATGGGCTGAGGCCTCCTGTCGTCAGGCGCAGACACGCTTGCAAATAAAAGGGCAGGATTTTGTATAGAAATCTCAGAAGAACTTTTATAGTCGCCCCCCAAAAGAATATCCCAATTGCCTTAAAAGAAAGTGTTTCCACAGACTAATGATGGGCTGTCACAAGTACCTCTGGAAAGATAAACAGGAAAAGTGAAGGGGTGACAGACACACCCAGCTCTTAAAGAGGCCCAAATGGCCTGGAACCACTGCGTGGGCAGAACCGGGGCTGAGGGTCACCCTGGGTGAGAGGAACCGTCAAACCCAGGAAGGGGGGCAGGTTGGAGCTCAATGTAACTGGAGTGGGAGAGAGCGATGGGTCAGTTGCCAAGCAGAGCCTTTTGTCACCCTGGCTCTGCCAGTACAGAAGGCTAGCCAGGGCCACGGCAAATGGGCGCCCACATAAATGTTCCAGAAGACAGGGCCCTGTCGAATCTTCCCAACGTGTCTCGATTGGAAAGGAAATCAGCTGCTTCGGTGGACCGAGGCTGCTCGTCTAAGAGCTCCCCAAAGAGGTGAGCCAAGTGATGTCCAAGCAGCCAACTGGACATCTTGCGGCCATGCGCCCTGTGAAACGTGGCTCAGTCCACACACCATCCACGTTTCCGTTCCCCTCCTGTGGATGGAACTGGGCAGGCCTGACCACAAACTCTCCTTAGGGTTTTCAGTCACTTTGTGGAAACTCGAGCTGGGCAGCCGGGGATGTGTATGTTCAAATCAGATTCTGGCCAAAGACTGAGCCTGAGGCGTGGGACAAGCTAAGGTCCTGAGCAGCTGCTGGCTGAGCTGCCATCAAAAGAAGAGACACACCCCAGACCCAGAGACTCCCCAGGGGCTCAAGGGCTTGAGTGACCATGGACAGACAGACCTTTTGAACCCATGGCAGGGCCTCAAGGGCCAGCATGGGAAATCCAGACCCATCCAGAGGGAGGCGGAGCTGCTCATTTAAATAAGCTACAATTTAAATCAGTGACAAGTGCTGCTTTGCTGGGGGGGCATTGAAGGTCCCCCTCTATGAGTTTGCTGTCTTGACTCCGGTCTGTGGCCACCCAGTACCCTAATATGCCCAGGCTCTCCTACCCTGCCACTGGGATCCAGGGGAAAATGGGGCCAGAGGGAGAAAAAATAATGGGGAGAGGGAAGTTATTTGGAATAAGCTAAGGCATCTATGAGCTTTGGGTTCTCCATTAGATAATCACTCCTGAGCTGCATTTCCCAAGTGGTCCCTGTCATCTGGTGTTTCCAGTCAGTGAGTGGCAACTGCAGAAGCCCTGTCCTCCCCAGCAGGCTGGCCTCTGGCCTCTGTTTGAACCTCAGCCCACCTTATGCTAAACTTGCTCCTGGCGATGCCACACTGGGTGCCAGAATGCAGCAAACCCCTCTCCTGCCCAGGTGGCATTGCCCTTCCTGGCTGCCCTGGAGTTTTTTGGACTCTACCATTTGGTGGCTATTATGAACTGAATTGTATTCCCCCACAAATTCATATGTTGTAGCCCTAACCCCCAATATGATTGGAAGAGAGATCAGGGATCTCTCTCTTCCTCCCTCTCTTTCTCTCTCTACCTCTCTATGTCACTGTCTGCACACAGAGGAAAGGCTGCATGAGGACACAGTGAGAAGGTGGCTGTCTACAAGCCAGGAAGAGAGGCCTCAGGAGGAACCAACCCTGATGGCACCTTGACCTTGAACTTCTGGCCTCTAGAACTGTAAGAAAATAAATGCTATTTAAGCTATTAGTCAGTTTAGGCGGCCATAACAAATAACACAGATGAGGGGCTTAAATGCTCATCTGTGTTATTTGTTATGGCCGCCTAAACTGACTAATACAATGGCTTTTGGCCTTCCAAGCCCTGGATGTGGAACCAAGCTTGAAACCCAAGTTGTCCCTGTGCTCCTCCAAGTTCATGACTCTCTTAGAAGGAACCCAGGGTGTTGACTGACCACACAGAAGGCAGGGGGTTATCACCTCTCATCTAGGCCATATCGGCGAGTCTCTCAGGCAAACACGTTCCGTATGGCCTCCTCCTCTG